TCACCTTCCCAGGTGAAGGGAGTGCCAGGGTCACGGGGTAGAAGACTGGGACTCAGAGCCAAGCCTGCTGGGCTATAAAGGGCAGGCTGAGTGCAGGGAGGTTCTCCTTGGTGCCCAGGCTGGGGGCCTGAGAGTGCAGCCCTGCTGGGAGCCAGTCTGTTGGGGGGAAGCCCCAGCAGAAGGGAGTAGAGGGACTTGCCTTACCTCCCAGGCAGGGGGCTGGGGAGTGAGACCCGCAGGAAGTAGATAGGCTCCTGCAGGCAAGGGAAAGGATGTGGATTGTGGGTGGAATTTATGTTAAACTCTTATTTGGGAGAAATAAAAGTCAAGCCCTAAAGAAAAGGGTCTGGAATCCTAGGGGCACTGAGTATTTTGATGCACTGGCTGGCAAGCTGGCCCACTGGCTTACATCGCTTTATCAGTTAGAAGCCAGTGCCGGTCAGAAATAACTGAAAGCTGTTACCATCTGCTGCGGAGTGGCCTAGGTGATAGGAGTTGGTGGTTCTCGCTCCTAGTGGACAGATGTTCTATCACAAGCCTACTCCACACTGCCTTTTAATATTATAACAAGGGGTTGCAACAGAGGTCAGGGCCCCGTTGTACTAGGTGCTGAACAAACCCCCAGTGAGAGACAGCCGCTGCCCCAAACAGGATGCAATTTAAAGAGACAAGACAAGCAAAGGATGGGAGGGGAGAGAGAGACTGAAAGTGACTTGGCCAAGGTCACGCAGGTCAGTGGTGGGAAGGGAACTGGGAAATAAGAAGGAATGCATCCACATATCCTCCTGTCATCACCTAGTTTGGGGGTGAGGATGGGGCTACTTACTTTCATTGATTAGGAAACTGTCCCTGCCTTTACTTTGTCCACCAAAGCTCATGAACCCCTCTATAGCCCATAGATGGGAGGTGTCTTCCGAAAGCTAGCTCGCATTTCTGAATCCAGTGCCATCAAAGATATAAAGAAAAACACTTTGCTTCTCTCATGTGTCTATGTACCTCATTGCACCAATTTTTCATCCAACCCCTGCAATGGCACATTAGGAGATTGTTCCCAGGGCACCTCTAAAATAGCTGATCTCTGCCCCTGCAGTAATTTGATTCCACGCAGCCCCGTCCATTGTGTGAACCAGGAAAAATCTTTTTATTTGCATGGTATTTCTTAAACCTTGCTGTCACTGTAAGCTTCATTTTAAGATGTTCCCTCCCTTTTTAACAAAAATACTTGGTTCTTCTCTCGTATCTTCTAGCTGAGGATCCCAACACACTTTACAAACATGAAGTAAGCCTCATAACTCTCCTTTGAGGCAAGTAAATCTTATTATCCCAATTTTACAGCAGGGGAAACTGAGGCCCAGAAAGGGGAGATGACTTGGCTAAGATCACACCACAAGTTAGTAGCAGAGCTGTGGGCAGAACCCAGATCTCCTGTGCTCTAACCACCAGACCTGCCTTCCTCCCATGCAGGTGGTAGTACCAAACACTGGTGTATAGACCAGTGCTGGTACTTCAAGCTTTGGCCAGTATTGCTGGTAATTGACTGGTTCTTTGCAATCCCACTTGGCCCAAAACTGGAGGTCGTACTCAGTTTCTAATTAGTTTAGACTCAGACAAAACTCCCACTAAAGAGGAGTTTGCTCAAGGAAAAACTAACTGACATTTGGGTCCAAGATCTGCTCTCCCAATATTTTCTGGGATGCTTCCCATTCAGTTGGTGTGGATTTTAACCCACTATGCATCTTGAGCGGCTCCAAATCAGTCTGCGTAACCTGCTGGGCTTTGGGATTGGAGTGCACACAGATGAATAACAGGCAAATAGCAACTACACACTGGAGTCTCTAGAAGGTGGGCTCTGAATTCAGCATTAAGCAAGGATGTTGCTGGAGGCACAGAAACGGACCAGGACAAAGAGGTAACAAGCTGCAAGAGATTCTTGTTTTCAGGGGAAGCGGGGACAACTGGGGAGAGGAACCAAGCCAAGAAAGACATTGGCCTTAGAAAGGGCATAAGGAGGTTACTGGCTGGTACAAATGAGCTGACGTGGTTGCCTGAAAAGCCAGAGCTTGGAGGAACAGAATTGAGAGCAATCAGAAAAGTCTCAAAGGGAAATTGATCACTGGGAGACTTGGCTTGTCAAGGTAATTGATCTGCTACCTTCCCAGCCAATGTTTCACCGGGGGATCGTACCTCTTCAAAGACCGGAGCAGCCACGCTCCAGTCCAGCCAAGTTTCAGATCTTTCCCGGCTTTTTCATTTTTTAATTGGATAGTGCCAAGAAATCCTCCTTCATTTCCTCAGCTCCTTTTTCATCTCCTCTCCAATGTTCTGCCAGGCAGGAAATGTTTACGCTGTCCCAGAGGTGCTGCCACAGCAAAAGTGGTCACCTTGTATTCTCTGCTGAGCCCCCCAGTCTACGCCAAATACTTTTGCCTGCAGTTTGCCTCATTTACTTGTAGCCTGATCTGAGAGAAGGAGGAGGGAGAAGGCTGATGCTTTATTGACTTGTTCCTACAGTTTAGTCAAGAAGTCAAATCTATACATGAAATAAGAAATTATTTTTAAAAATGCTATTTGGCCTGTTGTGACAAGCCGATCTGTAAATGAGACATTCTAGTGTCCCTGTGGGTTGTTTTGTTTTATTCTTTTAGGTTTTTTTCCTCCTATATAATTGCTTTTAATTATAAAGAATGAGATCTTTCCCCGGAGAGATTTATGTAAAACACTGAATTAAATTACCATTAGCACTTTTTACTGCATTCGTGTCAAGCATCTATTGTTTTAAATAAGCATCCGATTAACATTCGTATGCAACGTTTCCTACAGAGAAGCCACACTTGTTAGCAGCAAACCTAGTTGCAAGAAAATGTTTTTCCTTGTTAAGAGCCAAATTCAGTGTGGTGCTGAACACCCTCAGCTCTGGAAGTCATTGATGCTCGTCACCTGTCAGGATCTGGCCCTAAGAAAGTTTTGCTGCTACATGAAATAAATTTAGGAACATGAAAATGGCTTGTGTTTATGTACTTATATTCATGCAAAGAAGCGCACTGATGTTTCATTTATTAAATAAGCGAGGAAATTAATCAATTAAAGATTCCAACAGCAACAATAGCTCATCCGCACTGCAAATCCAAGGCTAATCCTGCAGTCCTTGCTCGGGCAAAACTCCCATTGATTTCAACTAATGTGCATGAATGAGGATGACAGGACTGGCCTGTTTTCAGACTTGCTGAACACAAACAACTTCCATTGACTTTAGTGGGAGCTGTGAATGGTCAGCATGTGCAAAACTGAAGCCATAAAGTAAGTCTTCAGAACCCAGTCCTCCCAAAACTTACTAGTGCTTAGCATCACGAGTCATCCCATGGAAACTACAGGCCTGTCTACACTAGGAAATTTGCACTAACATAGCTACGCCGATGTAACTAGATAATTTGAATTAGTGGAGTTTATGCTGATGTGGCTAGGTAATTTATCAAAGTAAATTGCATCAGTTCAGCATATTTATATTGTGGAGGGGAAGGGGAATTTCCAGTGGTGTAGCAAAACCTTTGCAAGTTTCCTTAATGTAAACAGTCCCATGATTTTAATGTATTTCTTAAAGCCCCAGCTGCTGGAATCATGTTATTGCATGACAATCTCCCAAAAATCTGTAAAACCAGAAGGGCCAGTAAAGAGAACCCAATATTTATTTATTTTAAAATTATTAATTTTTTTTAGGTCCAGACTCCTCATTTTTGAGCATTTGGGGGTCAGTAATATTACACTCAATAGTAAGTAATTGCAGCAATGATCCCTTCACAGAAAAGTAGGAACGGGGATGATGGTGCAACACAGCATTTCATTTCCTACAGGCTTTTAGTAGGGCGGGGAAAAAGCCAGGAAAGCAGCCCCAAGCAATCCCGTTTGGGGAGCTTACAGTCAGGGCCGGCTCCAGGCACCAGCTTACCAAGCAGGTGCTTGGGGCGGTCACTTTGGAGAGGGGCGGCACGTCCAGCTGTTCGGTGGCAATTCGGCGGACGGTCCCTCACTCCTGCTCGGAGCGAAGGACCTCCCGCCGAATTGCCGCCGCAGATCGCGACTTTTTTGTTTTTGTTTGGCTGCTTGGGGCGGCCAAAACCCTGGAGCCGGCCCTGCTTACAGGGGAGCTGTCGGGGAGGCTCAGAGATTCTTTGCACCAAACAGTGTGTGTTTAACTGGCGGTGCCCATCCATACAAGTGCCTGGAGGGGCACAGCCTTGCACCCACTGGGGTTGGGGACTGCTCTCTTAGGTTTTAGCTCCAGGAAATCGGTGCCGTCTGCCCACCCACCCCCTAGATGCCCCACAATTCCCAGCCTAAGCCCTGCACCCTAGAGACAACATCCCCACTCAGCAGGCTTGGTGGAAGCCACCATTTCCAGTCCCCTTGAGAAGGGCGGGGCCCTGGCAGCACCAAACAGCCAATCACTCAGTG